TGTGATTTTGATTTACATCTTGTTCCGCATTTTCAGGGTCGATTTCACTTACCGGAATCCCATCTTGAAAGTATTGTGTCATAAATCTATCATCATGCTGAAACATGCGTATGAAGTTATGTATGACCGCACAAGCAATAGGTATTTTTACCTGTTTCTTCATTGGGTAGTTGTTAATAATCTTGAGAATGCGAAACCTTGCTTTCCACACCCCAAATGTGCGCTCGATACAATTCCGGAGCGATGAGTGCGTGTAGTTGAACAACTCCCGCTCGCTACGAGGTCGTCCTCGGCGTGCCCTATACTCTTGCAAGTGGTACGTATTACCACGGTATGGTGCTAGGAAACAACCTCTGTTTGCGTAGCCTGAATCTACCAAATAAAATTTGCCGACAAAATCATCCGTGAAGATAATTAAATTCCAACTTTTTACCACTTAACAATGTAGAAACGATGTTTACCTTCAGGAGGAGTTGGAAACTTTTTGTGTCGGCCATCAAGGGTTGATTCAAGCACGCGGGCGTCATGTGCAGATCCCTCTCATCCAGCAAGCATGTATGTAAACTTCATGTCAAACGAACATACACCCAGAACATTTTGAGACATAAATCTCTTCCTATTTCTCCATACTTCTGGATTGTCGGGCGGCGGAACGCAAGGAACGTGTGTCCCATCAAGTGCACCAACACAGTTCTGCAAAGTAAAAGTAGATTAGTCCAAACAAGGTTATGTAACATAAACGAAAGAATAATCAAGTAAAATGTTATGTTGACTTACATCAAACCAAGGCCTGTACTTGCTCCCACTAGTTTCAATGAACGGGTCGATAGTGTTAAAGTCTGGGGGCACAATAAAATCATGTCGTAGTCGATATATGGCATTCAGTACAATCATAAAATACTTTGAGATTGTCGCTCCTGAATGCTGCCACTGATGTTGCGTCTCCCTATTACTTTCGCTTTGGCACACAATTGTGAGGAAAATCATCAGTTGTTCATCCACGTTCATATTTCTAGTACTCTTTAACAGATTCTTTTGTTCAAGTAACCAACTCAACCGCTTGAAGCAATCAGTTCCCATTCTTATCTTATTGTAGATCACTAGTTCGTGCCCATCTAACAGATCACCAAGACGTTGATGACTAGTATAATGATTATTATTTCTTAGTCTTGGAAGAGGTCTTTCCAAGAAGTCGTCGCAACATACCCACACTGCGGCAGCACCAAGTACGAAGTCATCTTCAGAGTCGGAATCACCATTCACGGGGTGGGTGTTTCCTTGGTTTGATGGGCCGGCATTCGACATGGTACCTGAAAGTGGTATATGCTCTACAATACCAATATGCAACAAATAATTTGACAACAATTGAACAATAACAATTCTCCAAAGTAAAACCTGTCTCATAGTGTGAAAACAAATGTCATTAACGGGAAATGAAAGGTAGATACCGGCCGTAGGCCCAATTCTACATTGTTCACAAATGCAAAGATAAATGTAAAACTCACAATGTAACATAGTACAGAAGTCGCTAATAACCAAATAAATGAGAGTTCATGAATAAGAACGTCAACAACATAAACATAAAGCATAAAAATAACTCATTGTTCGAACCACATAAGTTCCTTGCCGTTACACGTGATCGTCATTCCCTTCTCCACCAAATTGGCCTGGGAAGTTGGGGTATTGATTACCCATGTAGTATTGGGGTGGGCGTTGTAAATTGGGAGGGACTTGTTGAAAAGCGTGAGGCGGTTGCTGATAGTTGGGCGATGGTTGAGTTAAGTTTGTGGGTTGTTGGGGAAAAGCTGGATGATTTCCGGGGAATTGTTGTTGATATTGTGTTTGGAATGGTTGGGAACCCATAAATGGTGTTCCGTGGGGCATGTTATATGTGGGTCCAGTGGGTGGCGCCTGTTGATTGGACAAGGCCTTCAACGTTTTCAACACATAGAGCAGGCGTTGGCTTTCTTTTAAACGTAAGAACAAGATCTGACAATTTGGATTCCAGTTCAAATACTCACTAAAAGATACAACCTGTTCGTCGTCAAGTAGCATTTCACTTATGACTTCACAGCAACGGTCAAATGTTGAAGTCGGCGTTTCTCCAGGCTGTGTAGCCCCAGGTTGAGTTGCACCTGAACTAGTGCCTTTGCTAGACTGGCGCCTTTCAAGAGTATTGGCTATACTCTTTAAAAGTATTTTCGCTTCTGGATCCATCATTCTTACCCCGCTCTTGCTTGGTCTCTTCGATATTGGCCGCGAAGAAGAGGCAATATTCAATGAACGTCCCGACGAATGAAGAGCGCTTCTCATTGTTCGAACAAAACCTTCCTCAGTTTCACCAGCTTGAGAGGTTCCGCCAACTACATTCTCCGCTTCCTCTATGTGCGGCTGTGAGGTTTCATCTTCCTCATCGGTATC